GGAGAGGTCAGAGTTTACTACGTGGAGAACAGAGGGAGAAAGAGAACAGATGTTGAAGCAAAGAGGGGGAGTGCAAAGCGGCCCATGTGTTGCACACGGGTCATACTCTTGTATAAATAAAGGCAAGGGCTTGGGGTAACTGGTAAGGAATTTGTTGTGCAATTTCGAAACTCAGCAAGCTTAGGTATTTTGCAAAAAAAAAATTGCCGTCCCTCTCAGTTCTGTATAGGGGCTGCTGAGATATTTTGACAAAAAAAATTGGCTTCATCGTGTCGTGCAATATCAAGTCATCAACTCAGTACAGGACTGTTGACGTATTTTGATAAAAAAAATTTGTCCCTATTTCTAGTCCTCTGTCTTTATCGTGTAGTGCAATTTCAAGAAAATGACTATTTGGCTGTAGAAGTCCAGCAACCAGTAGTTGCTTGCCTTCTGTTCTAGCAAAAATCATCTAAATTCCCTTTTGGGACATTTTTGCTCTTGAGGAAGGTGGTGGGTTGATTTCCCAATAATATATGCACTCTTGCATCTGTCAGGAAACTTTAAAGCTCTTTAGACAGTGCTTTATAGTTTTGTAGTTCTTATAAAAGTTTGTGATGTCTGCTACAATCGTTCTTCCTTGGTTTCTAATATTCTCTGTCAATTTCTGTGGCTTACATGCCCAGAATTCTTCAACCATAACCTTGGGATCTAGCATCACTGCAGGAACAAATGCATCCTGGCACTCCCCTTCTGGCGACTTTGCATTCGGCTTCTACTCAATCTCCGGAGGACTCTACGTTGTTGGCGTCTGGTTAGATAAAATCCCTGAGAGGACACTAGTCTGGTCTGCTAACCTAGACTCTCCAGCAGAAGCGGAATCCACTGTCCAACTAACAGCTGGCCAGGTTTTGCTGACATACTTTAATGGTACTCAACAGTCAATAAATAGTGGAGGAGCTCCCGCAAGTTTAGGCTTAATGCAGGATGACGGTAATTTTGTCCTGAGAGATGTGAATTCATCAACTGTCTGGAGGAGCTTTAGTTTCCCAACAGACACACTCTTGCCAGGACAAGCTCTATTAAGTCTCCAAGCGCTCTATTCAAACGCCAAAGGAACAACAGACTATTCAACAGGAAATTTCAGGTTGTAAATGCAATATGATGGAAATCTGGTCCTCTCAACCTAACGCTTCTCGGAACCTGGTTACTGGTGGGCCGGAACTACAGACATCGGATCTACAGAGAAAAATGTGAGCCTGGTATTCAATCAGACTGCTTTCATATACCTTGTCAATAGCACCAGTCAAATCATTTTTTCTTTGACAAGAATCATCCCAAACCCTGTCGAAGACTACTACAATCGAGCAATAATCGATGACCATGGCAATTTCCAGTAATATGTTTACAATAAAAGAAATGATAGCAGATGGAGAAGGGTGTGGAGAGCACTCGAAGACCCATGTCTTGTGACTTCTCTTTGTGGTGTCAATGGCATGTGCACTTCAGTTGATAATGAAACCATAAGTTGTGGTTGCATTCCAGGTCATACTAATTTAGATCCAAGTGATCTAAATTTGGGTTGCCGCCCAGAAACTCCAGTAAACTATTGTATAGATTCCTCCATGAGGAACTTTACCGTAGAGGTAATTGATAATGCTGATTTTCCTAGTGAAGATAACGGAGAGTTGGTTAAAATAGAAAATGTTGATCTATAGGGCTGCAAGAATGCTGTCATGGAAGATTGCTACACCTTGGCTGCTTCCCTGGAGGGTTCAACATGCTACAAAAAGAGGATGCCTTTGTTGAAAGCTAGAAAAAGTGCTTCTAGCATCGGAATTAAGGCACTAATGAAGGTGCCAATGAAGTTAACAAATGCAGGTATTCCAAAAGGAGAAACGAAAAGGAATTTTAACATTCGGCTTTTCCTTAAGATTGGCCTTATAATTAATGCCGTACTTGCTTTCTTGTTGGGAGCTTCTGCCATTTATAATCTTCCTATATTTAGAAGATTACTAAGAAGGAAAAGTTATTTAAGTTTAGATGCCATTGGAGTTGGTTTTAGACAATTCACATTTCAAGAGCTTTACGGAGCAACAAATGGGTTTAGTAAAATCCTTGGTCGAGGATCTTCTGCCAAAGTATACAGAGGACTTCTAAGTTTAAAGGGTGCCCATATTGAGATTGCAGTAAAGAAGCTGGAGAAAGGGACAGGCAAAAGTCAGAATGAATTCATGACAGAGCCCAAGATAATTGGCCGGACACATCACAAGAATCTAGTAAGACTGCTGGGATTTTGCATTGAGAATGATCAACAGCTTTTAGTTTATGAGCTAATGGCAAATGGGCCCTTGTCAAGGTCTCTATTTGGAGAAGAAGATAAAAGACCTAGTTGGTTTCAAAGAGCTGAGATGGCACTTCAAATAGCAAGAGGCTTACTCTACTTGCACGAAGAATGTGAGACTCAAATCATCCATTGTGACATAAAGCCTCAGAATGTGCTACTGGATGAAAATTATTCTGCTAAGATTGCTGATTTTGGGCTTTCCAAGCTTTTGAATAAGGACCAAACTAGAACTGACACCAATGTAAGGGGAACGATGGGGTATTTGGCACCTGAATGGCTAAAGCATGCACCAATAACTGCTAAAGTAGATGTTTTCAGTTATGGTGTGATGTTACTTGAGATTATATGCTGCAGAAGGCACATAGAAGTGAGCAGGGTTGAGGAAGAGAGTGAGGTGGATGACCTTCTTCTCTCAGAGTGGATTATAAGTTGTATAATATCTGGAAACAGAAACCAGGTTACAATCATCAACACCTTACACAAAAATCACTCAAAATTCAAATCCTATATCACTCGTCCAAAGAAAATCAGAAAAAACACAATAACCCCACCAGTCAGCAACAAGGATCCCAACATTAACCCCTAGACATAATGGACAAAAACACCATGGGCGCATGAATCATTAGAGATTTGAAAAACTACAAAATTATCTCTAAAGAATTATTCAAGATTTTACCTTATCAATAGAATTAAAAAAAAATCAAGCACTCACAAGAACACAAATATTTATGTGATTTGATCTTTTGATGTGTCTACGTCTACGAACACAATAACAAAAAAAAAATTCATTAAAAGAAAAATTATAAAATTATAAAAATAATCTCAAACTCACACCCTTTTATCTCACGTATACCTAAATCATTATCTCTAAGTGATAATTATTTTTTAACTTTATAAAATCTTCTTATAGTATCAAATATAATAATTTTATCTTAAGATATATTATACTAATCTAATTAGATTTAAAAACTATTTCAAAAAAAATATATTAGTTTACTTATTATAATTCAAGATTATCTTAACATCTGGGATACATTTCCTCATATAACCAGCAACCTGTCCCAAGCAGCATGGACCAGAGCATCCGTTTCCCAGCTTGCTTGTCCCCCTGCATACGATACCAAACGATCACCTACCATTCCCTTGAACCTGCATATGGCACAGAACAACCGCTTTCAAAACAAGACCATTTAGTCAAGGATACAAATAAAGTCTTCATGTCTTGTAACTCCCTCTTTGGTCAAGCTATCAGCAAATTGATTGACTTGTCTAAAGCCACGTTTGATTTCCCATCCAATGCCCACGTTCTTCAACATGTCGACGTAGAGAATCCACTTTCTCACTCTCGAAGACACCCCATTAGGCTCAATAGTCCATTTCACAGCACTGCAAGAATCACTTTGAACGATAAGTCATAGTTGAGTCACCAATCCCGATGGAGTTGGAGAACTTTATTTTTACCAGCCTATCAAATTTTGATGTGGCCATCAATAAAGGCCATTTATCTTTATCTTTGAAAGGGTTCCCTTGAGGTTGAAATCTACAGCTTGGCATGGGCCAAAAACTTTTGCAGTGGGTGTTTCACATGTCTATGGAAAACAACAAAATCCTGGTACTCGTAATCTGACACGCCGAAGAAACAATATCGGTATTAATAATTTAGACATGCATATGCATGCCAACGTGTGAGCATTACATTTTGCCCAACTTTAACAAAAGCGGAACACACCCTTTGTTTTCTTTTTCTCAATAATTGATCGGAGGCTGTTGACCGAGCAATAAAGTTTTGGGGTATAATAATGAATCCCGAACAGAGACAACTCTTTTTGCCCATATTGATCACCTGGGCTGATGAAAAAAATATTTACATCCCCATGGAAAATCATTTTATCAAGAAACATGTGCTGGATTGAAAACTTAACTTCAAATATGGAAATATTTGTTTGTCCCCTCCTAATTGATCCTAAACAAGTGGAATTTTTGTTTTTAATGAGAATATGTAATTTCAAAGCAGGAATTTAGTACTGTTTAAATTAAAATAAATAATCAAATAAAATTCATAATTAAAATTTATTAATATTTTTAATAAATTATTTGAAATAAATATTTTAAATTAAAAATTAAAAATTATAAAAATGAGATCTTTTGTCTTTTTATTATCTGTTATTTTATTATGTCAAAATTATTTTTATCAATCAAATATTAAAATAATATCATAATGTCAATTTCATTTCATAAACCAAATTACATAATAGTTATTTATATCTTAAACTATTCTCATAAAATAGTTATGTTATTATCTTTTTATTCCAATCCCCGAACTAAACATGTCCTTAAGAGACTAATTACTCCATTACTTTGTCCTTCCACAGCTTTTGTATGAGTTTAATTTTTCCAACATCAATTGTTGGATTTGGTATGCATATAGAATTTTTGTATATTATTTCTAATATAATATTCCGGTGATATATTTATATAGATTAATTTTAAAATTCTTTTAAATACAAAAATTCCTTTAAAATTTGATATGCATCGTATTAATAATGTATAAGTATGAATAACTACTAAGCCAAACAATTAATTTTATCAAACAATTTTAACTGAATTTTAAAAATTATTATTTTTTATAAAAATTTCATAATAACCAAATCAAATAAGCTTTTAGACACCAACGTAGCTAAAAGAAAATTTCGATTACACTAAATAGACTTTCAACCATAATTTATTACAAAGATCGACATACTTTATTACACCAAAAGGACAGACTTCTAATATTGGAACATTTATATTCCGTTAGACTCATGTTTCTGACATGGACCCAGACAGAGGATCATGCAGTGCAATTAGGCCAACTTAAATGCTGAGGAGGTTTGGTTTTGAGCACCGGACTATACTCAAAGAAATTAGTTGGTCTCAGCTCAAATCCGCCGCTCAATGTTGGCATCATTGGAAAATCTTCCTGGCAAGGGACATGGTGAAAGCCCATTGTATACCATAGGACTATATCCTTGTTCTCAATGCCCCTATTCCTGCAAACACATCGAAATTTTCATTTCAATGAAAATTATAATAATGCTTCTTTGCTATAGAGAACCGATAGATGTATCATCTGAAATAGTACCTGTTGCTCCAGACAGCTAAGGTATCATCTCCTCGGCTTTGATCAACATATCGTCCGCCGGCCCATTTTTCAGATTTGTTATATGGGGTTACCCATACATTATAATTTGTGAAGGCAGCCCTGATTTGTGGATAGTCATCTGCTGCTAGAAGTGGCCCTGCTGCAGATCCTGGAATCAAACGATACCCAACTTTGTTTCCAGGTTTAGTTCTCTTGTTCGGGTTCACTACCACCAGCTCTTCTGGTTTCAAGCCAAGTTTAATCCTTGCATCAGCTTCAGTCTTAGCTGTTTCATGTTGAACTGTCCAATAACTTTTTCTTGGTATGCTCTTGTCAGTGACTCGTTTGGTAACCAAATTAGTCTTGACAAGAGAATTGGCATCCCCGTCAATATCAACGTCCAGATGGTAGGTTAGAAAGTGATCGTGGTGTACACCAATGGTATTGTCTGCTACGAGTGTACCATAGACTTCCTCTTTTATTTGATCTGTGTGGTTGTATGGTACAGCCTTCACTTCTAGCACTCCTGTTAGCCCAACCTGAGGAAGAGAGCAAGAGAAATATTTTAGAAAATTTAAGTAACCATTAATTATTTAGGAGAGGGATTCGAATTTTAGATTAGGAACAAGAAGAAAGCTTAGAGCTCTGGAGAAGGATAAGCAATTTGTTTGCTATAGGTCGTACAGTCAAACAGGAGCTGGTCGAGTCTAGAGGGGAATCCCGAAATTGGTTGGCCGGTTTTACTTGCTTCCTTGGAGATTGTTCAATTGAACTTGTTGAACTTTGGGGAATTAACCATGGAATTAAAATGGACAAGAGCATAAAACCTAGATAGAGTGGAACTTGAGACTGACTCATTAATCTCAGTGCTCCTGATCAAACAATCACCCCTACTCAACCCCCTATCTCATATCATCAAACCCGTCAAAAGCCACCAACTTGACTTGGAGACTTTCCCACATCCCTAGGAAAAGAATTTCATTGCCGATTGGCTTGCCATTGAAACTCAACACCCAGGAATCCAGAGTCACCAACAAGCTCCAGAATGATCCGACGCCTCTCTTACTTGCGGACATGATGGGAGTTCAATATCCTAGACTTGTTTTAATTGTTTTCGTTCAGGGCCATTGATTCTCCTTTGCATCCAAAAACAAAAAGACAAACACCTGTTTGTCCTTGTGTGCAAGCATTAGTAGAGGACCAAAGTCAGTAGAGTGAAACACGTGTCTATCCTTGTGCAGTATATATAGAGGCATCAAGGAGGAAGAGATACAATATGGATTCTTTCTTCTCAGTAATGCCCTAATTTTGTATACGAGGCAGAGATAGAGATCGACTAAATCTATCCATTGCTGATTGCTCCTGGTGGACAAGGAAGCCTGAGCACATATTTATCATGGACCACTGGACCACTGACCTCTGGACTTTTCTTATCGTGTAGGCCCAAAATCTAACCCACATTGCTGGCAGTCATCAATCAGCTTCATTGTTTTTTCTTTTTCATTTTTCATTGCCCAGGCAGAGCAGATCAAAACGGGATTTGTTTTTCAAAATTTATCAATATTTTATCAACTAGATCGTATGAATAGGGTGATCCCGAGATCCTGACTGCTGCACTAAGCCAATTGTCAGAACACTAGCATAGACATGGAAGTTTTAGCAACGTTAAGCATTCATCGTATTAAGGGAAAAAAAAGTGAAAAAGCTAAGTAGTTGATATTATTACTATACCCCAAATTTGATGGATCCACTTGGCTTGAATTCCCAATCAAGTATATAATCATAGTTGCCCACAGTCGCTACCATTCTCACCACAAGACTAACCTCTGGTCTCACCTCCCTGACCTGCACACATCATAATTATTTATAATAGCATCAAGATCAATGACAAGTCAATTTTCAATGGAAAAAAAAAAAGTAACCATTATTGCAAACCTCTTGATCTCGAAGCTCAGCCTCCGTATGTCGCCACATTACATCCCCTGAATGTCTTTCAAATATGCACATTACATCGGATACTTTGACAGGATTGCCATCTTGGCCTGCATAGTAACCATCAACGAAAACTGCGTTGGCTGGACAATCGTTGAGGGGTTCCAATGGAACTGCATAAATACCGAACCCGAATTCGCCACAGTCGAAAAATGTTACGTGGTACCACTCCTCGGTTGGATCCTGGTATGGAACGAAGAGCTCGGAGATGAATGATCTATACAACACCTGACGGTATGTTCTCTTCTCAGCATCGTAGATGGAGGCTAGAGAGATAACTGGACCAACTCGACCATCAAATCCTAGGTGGAACTTCCAGTTTGCCCAACTGGTGTCGAATAGAAAATTTTAATCTTTTAAACAATGTCAATGGAAAAAAAAAATTTCCCGAAGATAAGGATGGACAAGACTTTGGTGTCTATGATAAAATTGGCAATTGGCCAGGAATTAATAGATAAATAAATAGTATATGTTTGTTTATTTGATGGACAGATTTAATATAAGTATGATCAGTACGTAGAATGAAACTTGAAATAAAATGCATCCCCTTGCATTAACAAAATAAGGTTATTCTTCATCTACAATCTTTGCTGACAATTAATAATATTCAAGATTATTATTATTTTTTATATCATATGGATAATTCATATAATGTTTACTATTGAAGAAAAATTTTACACCAATTCATATGAAAAGGATAATATTAGACCATCCTTTAATTATTAAAAAAAAAGGTGAAAACCTATTCAGTATATTGACAACTAGATTTAGAAATATAGCCAGCCAATCCTCAGTCATCCAATAAATAAATAATTCTAACAACTAATTAGATCTACCATATTATTCACTAGAACGTTATCTTGTTTCCACAAGTGTTTAAATCAGTACCTAAACAAAAGTTACAAAAGTCCTTCCTGTTACATTATATCTTCTAACCAAATTAAATTAGTAAAAAAACCTTGCTGAGTCTAATAAATCTGTCTAGTACTCTCTAAGTAATTTCATGGACAATAAGAGTATGTTTGGTTCGAATCAAATAAAGTGAGATTTAAATAACTATTTCAAGAGAATAGAATAAGAGAGAGATAGTTATTATATAATTTGGTTCATAAAATAGAATAAAACAAAAATTGTTATATGATTTATTATAACACTTAATTGGTAGAAATAGTTTTAAAAATAGAAAAAAAAAAGTGATATATGAGAAAAATATTTTTTATTATAATATATAATTATTTTTATTTTTATTTTTAAAAATTAAAATATTTAAAATTTATAATTAAAATTTTAAAATATTCCTTTTTATAATTAAAATTTTAATTTAATTTTAAAAAATAAAGTATTAATTTTTAGTTTTCCCTTTTTTTTCTATTCTAATATTTTGTTTTTGTTTTTTCTTTCTTTTCACCGGACAATCACCAAAGATATGGTCGAAGTGCCAGTCTAGCATTGCCTGTGGTAGAATCTAGCTGCTGGAGCACCAGATCGGCACTTCTTGTTCTAGATCTAACCATGTGTCACTAGATCGGCATTTCTTACGACCGAATATGATGAGGGAACATCAATCAACATTTATCGCAATCGACATGATGCCACCGTCGCCCTCTATTGAAGGACTTCAAAGAAAAAAGGAAAGAAGTAGAAGATGGGTAGAGAGAGAAAGAAAGTGAAAATTGAAGAAAATATTTTATCTAATAAAAGTTTTGACTTATTCCTCATTTGTTAAATAGCTATTATTTAAGTTTTTTTATTTTAAGTTATTTTAAGAATGACTATTTCAAAAAATGACAATTTCTGTTGAGCAAACAAGTTAATAGAGGTTTAGGAATTAGGGGAACGGCTACTCCATACCCCAGCCCAACCAATCACGCTTTAACCGTATAATTTTGTAGCATATCGAATAAAAGTTTTGATCTAGCTAGTCTCACCTGACAATATTTCCATCAATGTTGAACCCCGTTTGGCCCGGTGGTGTTGGGGGAGCACCATTGAAACGTGGACCAAGAGGCGGTGTTAGCTTGGAAGCTCGGTACTCAGTTCCCTCGGCTTTTGGCATTGGAGGAACAGCTCTGTCAATGTACTGAGATATCTTCATTTCTTCGAGGTCGACAGCCAGGGTTATCCCTTCTATTGGTCTCAAATACATATTAACCGTTCCATCCAAATAGTAACATACGACTTTCAGCTCTCTTTTGGTCTTCTCTTCTCCGTACCAGCCAATTGTTTGAGTAGAGCAAATAACTTCAGATATATTTAGCCCTCTTTTGCCAAGTGATGCTAAAAATGGTTCATGTTTTAGTGCTAAATCGGCTGCGGCTTCTTGTTCCTCAATGGTAAGTAGAGGGTACCCAAATCCATTGTAGATTTTATCAGAGATGACGGAACGTTTTGACAAATCTACTATGATTTCATGAGTTTGTTCATTGAGCCGGATAACGACCAAAGCTTGGCGAGGTGGGGGTTTGGTGGTGGGTTTTGATAGCCATGATTTGACAAGTTGTTTCTCTGGCTCATCTAACCCAACATACTGGAAGGTTAGTTTGTGGTTCGAGCTAGGGTAGGACTGGTTCACAACGGCTCGAACCAGGAGGAGCTCGGCTGCAGTGAGGGAATCTAGTGGATGGGGCTTAGAGCTTGTGATTGGTGATACAAGGAAGATGCAGAAGATGGAGATAAACAGTGCTATTTTCAATGTTGAAGCCATTGTTCTGTGTGGACAACCTAGAGCTTCTTTGCCCTTAAATAGCCAAATAAGCAATTAATTATGCAACATGGACCAAGTTAAGATAAAATTAAAGAAATAAGTAGATTTACTCCTCCGGAAATTGTTTTACATTACAAAGATTACCGTCTCTCATGGTGAATGAACTTATTTTTTTCTATCACGGTGAATAATTTTTTTTCACTAAAAATGAAAAATGAGTGACGTTTTCAATTTGCACGTGACCTACTAAATATAAACTTTAAATTTTGTTTTAATATCGAGAAGATAAGATAATAGGTTCGGTGGAGAGTGAGGCACACACTAATGAAGATTGAGGGGCTCAAATTAGAGGTTGCAAGCTGGAGTCTGAGGAAAAGTCTACCTTTCCGCGAATGAGGTGGCTGACGACCTCGCAAGGACAGGCATAGGCAGGCACAGTGAGTTGATGTGGTATATTGGAGCTGGTGATTAGTCAAATTTAGACGTGATAATTTGTATTTTTATGATCAAATATGATAAGACTAAAGTCGAACATGACTCGAATAATTACTATATTAATATCTGAAAATACATATACAAATATATTTAATAATAGTGTAATATGATATGACTAACATATTTATTAAACGTGTTAAGATTTTTTATACAACACGACATGATTACATTTAAACATAATTTGTTCTTAATACATTTAACATTTTTAATATAATTAAATTAAAATATTTATAATTAAATATAATTTTATTTTTAAATTTAAAATCAATAATTATAAAAATAATAATAATAAAATAATAATAACATC